ACCCTCCAGGCTTGAAGGCTTTCTTGACAGGGAGCCGGTAGGATCTGTTGAGCTGCTGCTCTAAAACCTGGATTTTTAGATAAATTGTGGTGCATGTGCTGGAAAAGGGGAATGGCTTGACTTGGAGGGTGGTTTCAAGGTCTGCAAGAGCAGAGCCTGAGGAATGATGCGGGGGTGGAACTGATTTTTGGGGTCTTCACCAGATGTTAATCAGTGTTGGATCAACCCATGGGTGTTAGGGACAGGATGAGCAAGGAGCCCTTGCTCTGCTTTGGAGTCTCAAGTCTATTTTGTTTAGAGGTTTTGGATGGAGAGAAGCAGGGTGGGTATAGAGGTGACAGTGAGCCTGCAGAGATGTTGGGTGTTCCCTACAGTCCTTGGATAGACACAGGGGTGGGCCCTGAGTCTGGGGTCTTGGGATGTTGGGGAGGCTGGAGGGTCTGCTGTGCAGGGGACAGCAGGTCCACAAGGAGCCCACGTGCTGGTTTGCTGTTGAGAGCTGCTGATACCTTTACCTGCTGTTGAGAGTTGCTGATACCTTTTAGGAAGAGGTGTGGGGGGCTCTCCCTTCCTCACCAAGGCACTGAGGTTCCTGCTGGGGCTGTGGGACACCAGGAGATCCAAGTCCTCTTAAGGGGTGTGATTGGTGCAGGTGAAGGGGGATGCTGCTGGTGGGGAGGTCGACCAGTGGGATGGGTCTCCTTGAGGTGGAGAAGTCTGTTTGTCTTCCCTCCCCAGGCTGCACTGGGTGTGTTTAATTACCTTTTTTTCTGGATTGCTTCCTGTTCCTAAAGTCTTCTTGTCTGGAGTAGGATGTTCCTAAGCTTAAATATAAATATACACTTGAACTCTTTCCTGATTACTTTTTTTTTTTTAACTTGGGGATCTCTATGTGGGATCACATCTAAATTTTACTGTGCTTTGCTTCTTTGCGTAGCATTAAATGCCTTCTCTACACTAGACTTGTGAAGACTTGCCTTTTACAGCCTGTCTGGCATCAAACCCTCATCCTCTACCAAAAAGAAACCCCCCAAAACCTGGCACTTCCCAGGGTGGCCGCTCAGAGCAGGAGGTGAGCAGCACTGCCTGGGTGCCCCTGCAAGATCAGAGTGTCCTCCGGTGTCCCGGGAGCTCCCGAGGCAGCTGCAGGCCCTTCAGAATTGCCTTCTGGAATAGTGAGGAAAGAAAATTTAATTAAAAAGCCAAACTAGTGTTTGTGGTTTGGCTGTGGGCAGTGCTTTCTCCAAATAATGGGTTGAAGAGCAGTGGAGCAGGAACCTCGCTCTTTGTGTCGCCTCTGCTGTGGGATGGAAACAAAACACTGCTTTGCAAACACTTCCGTGCAGCAAAGGTGCTTTTTTCTTAAATAACCCGGCCTCTCAGTTAAGTTACTTGCTTACGAATCTCTCAGCTTTCAGTTGAGACCTCAGGAAACCATTTCTGAGCATAAAGCTTCAAAGGGAGGGGACCAGCTGTGAGTCCCTGCAGCTGCGGAGCCTGCGCAGGTTTTGCAGCAAGGGGTTTGCCTGCACCCCGGGGGTTACTGGTGCTGACTGCTGCTCTGAAATGTTTACTGGGAAGGGAAGGGCTCCTACGTGCCACATCCCCAGCCCTGCTCATGGGATCTGGCCAGGATGATTCCTGGGGGATGGAGGAAGATGTTTGCTCATGTCCAGCCAGACCCACCTTCCTGCGCAGGGACGGGTCGTGTCTGTGGCTTTGAAACGCAAACCAGTAAACATTTTGTGTTCCAGAAATGTGGGTATTTAAAGAGAGAGAACTACAACCAGAGGAAATGGTTGTTTGGGGCCTGTCCCTCTTGTTTTACCACGGCTGATAAGAGCTGCTGCTTGGCTATGCCCTCCCTGCCATTGGGATTGCAGGAGCCTGGGTTCTGCCCTCGTGTTTCTAAGGGAGGGATGTGCATCCAGCCTGTGTTTTGATAATGATTCTCACAAATGTCTCCATTCTAAACAAACACAGTAGGAAGCAGCTCCAAAACAGACTGCTCTGGCAGCTGGTGCAAAAGGGAGCTCACACGTGTCGAGTGGTCGTGGTGGGCTGGTCTTGCAATGTGTCCATCCTGCTTGGTGTGTGTTGGGGCATCAGGAGCTTCACCCTGGGGGTTGGCTATGGGGGGGTCTGTCCTGCATCGTGGGGTGATGAGCATCTGGCCAAATGTAGCTTGTTCCCCCTTGCACCACCCTGTAGCATCTCCAGGAGTTCTTGGAGAGCTGTTAAGAGCATGAGTTACTATGAACTAGGTGATATATTGGAAACAATTTATTCACTGAAAGGGTAATTAAACACTGGAATTAGCTGCTCAGGGAGGTGGTTGAATCTCCATCCCTGGAGGTGTTTAAGAGGTGTGTAGATGTGGTGCTGAGGGACATGGCTTAAGCACTGTACTTGGTAGAGTTGGTTAGTGGTTGGTAGAGTTGGGTTATGGTTGGACTCGATGATCTTACATCTCTTTTCCAGCCAGAAGGATTCTGTGAACAGGCTGGGGTGGCTCTGCAGATGTGTGTTGCTAACAGGACCAGCAGCATCCCCAGCAAGGACCTGTGGGGAGAAAGGGGGGACAGCACCAGGAGCTGCAGGGGCAGGTCACCCTCCTGCTGCTATCTGCAGACCCATCACAGCCCTGTCACCCCCCCGGGGGCACACAGCCTCTTCAGAACCAAACCACAGGCCCTGCTCACGCTGTAATCCTGCTCTGGCCCTGCTAAACCGGCACTTAACCTCAATTCTGGCCCTGTGATCTGGCAACCAGCCCACACCCTGCTCACTTGCTGCTAGTTGCAGCTCCCAAGTGCTCCCTGAGAGCTGTGAGCCCTGTGGCCAGCAAACCCTTGTGCTAGGAGCTGTTTTCTGTGGTTGGGTTTAACTTGCTTTGGGGATGATTTTTGCTGTCCCTCCCAGTGAGCAGCTGGCATGAAGCTGTCCCCTCCTGGAGGGTGGTGGCACCCAGCTGGGTGCTGCATGGATCTGCTGTAGCCATTCCTTGGATTGTGCAGCTTTCCTGCAGAGCCCACTCTGGGATCATCCTGCAGAAACAAACTCCTGCAAGGCACCCAGGGAGGAGAAGGGATGCAGTGTGGTTTTCTGCACATCTCTCTAGCTCGGAGCTTTGCTGTGTCTGGGTTTGGCATCTTCTTTGCCTTGTGGTGTCCCCATTGCAGCCAGTGCCTGTGGATACATCCAGGCTGGCTGCTCGGATCCCCCTTTTCTCAGTGCAGGTGGAAACCAGTGGCCTCCACTTCTCTGATGGGTTTGGAGGAGCCCAGAGCAGCTCACCAAAGGAAGATGGTGGGTGAACCTGGTTTCTGCAGGGGACCAGGCTAAAAACGGACCCTACAGCTCATCCTCAAAGCTGGCTGGTGGGGCTCAGCCCAACTGAAGGTGTCTCAGAGAGTCCAAAGAGCCTGTCCCAAACCTCACACAGCTCTGAATCCCTCTGGTGGGAGCACAGACCCTGTGGGTTTCCATCCCTACTTTTAGAAAGATCTTTCTGCAAAAAAAACCCCAAACAAACAAAACAACACCTGAAAAACCTAAAATTGAAAACAAAACCTTGTCAAGCCAGGAAATTTGCATTGCTGGGGAAGCAAAATCAGTGAAGGTCTGTAGTGCTGCTTTGTTTCAGCCACAGCTTTAGGAACAATACGAAGCTTTGGCATTACCTACAGGGGAAGGGCACTTTGGAAAGCAAGGAGGGCTTTTCTTCTTCAAGCACTCTAATTATTCTGGCAGTCTGGATGAGTGAAATTAAAGTTGTCGAGTTCAATAACACATTGGAAGGTGACATCTTGAAATGTGGCTTCATTTTGAGGGTGTCTTTTGAGCAAATGTTTGTGTGCTGAGGCTTGGGCTGGGGGGATTGGGAGGCATATTGGATTATGGGCTATTTGCTCTGTGTAAGCAGTGGCAATTTATTGCTGCAGATACATGTGATGCAACGTGCAAAGATTAGTTCTATCCCCTCTAAAGCATGATTATTTTGGGTCCTCTTTATACCTTTAAATAGATATTCTTCTCATGTGATTTCCATCTTTTTGTGTCAACAGCCCAGGCTAAAGTTGAAATAAACATTGCATCAGCTTCACAGCACAGGCTCTGAAGAAATCTGCTCCCCTCTGTGGGGGTTGTTTGGAACCTTTTCATTTTACATGTTTCCAATGTGCAGTGCAAAGATTTTGTGAATCCTGAAGGCTGCTCTGCTTCACTGGACCTTTCTTCTGCTGAGCATCTTCTCTAGTTGGTCAGCACTGACTAGTCCCAGAGCATCAGTGGGGTTCATCATGTTTCAATATCCCTCTTTTAAGTTCGTAGTGAGGATCTGTGGCCTCTTTCAGGGATATTTAGAAATGAGCAGCTGTTAAATTTGTTGTGGCTGTGCAGTTTTTGGCTCTCAAGTAGCAGGTTTCTCTTCCAGTTGCAGTGGTGGAGAAGGATGCTGAAACCCTGCAAGCCAGTGTGGGCTCTCTGGGGTCTTGGTGTGGCTTGGTAGTAGAAAGGTTGCCTGGTCCTCATGCAGTTGGACTCAGATGATCTTAAAGGTCTTTTTCCAACCTGAATGATTCTGTGATCCTCAGCTGCTCTGCTCCCACAGCCTGTGCTGCTGGAACAGGGACCTGAAGGAACAGAGGATCCCAGGAGAGCCCTGTGGAACAAGACCTGCCATCTCTTCCCCTTTCCCTAGTCTTATTTCTATGTTTCCATCATGGGCTCTTGCCAGGCTACAGACCTGGTGCCAGGGCACTGAGCAGTGTCCTCCAAATGGTGGGAGGGCAGATGTCACCAGAGATAGTTCTACCAAAGCAAACCTTAACAGAATGAGTGATCTGTTTGTACTTAATGACTTTATAGCAGGACAGGGTGGTATGAGTGGGGAGCGTGGTGTGTCTGTGCCTGTGGCTTGGTTTGAATACCTGAACAGCAGACTTAAATGTTGGGAAGCTCTTGGCTGAGACCTTCTGTGCCCCTCTTACAGCACCAACATGACAACAGAGAAGAGCCCGGCGGCGGACGCCGACAGCTCGGGGCAGCAGCAAGCCAAGGAGGAGGAAGGAGCTGCTGAAGCACAAAAGCAAGAGGCTTCCCTCGAGGAAGGGGCTCGGCAGAGGTCGGAGGGGCAGAAGCAAAAGGCCTCCAACGGCGACACCCCCACGCACGAGGAGCAGAGCAAGAAGGAGCGACGCAGCTCTGAGGGCCGCGGCCTCTCCCGCCTCTTCTCATCCTTTCTCAGGAGGCCCAAGTCTCAGGTGTCCGAAGAGGACAAAGACACTGATGCTACTAAAGAGGTGGGAGGTGACCAGAAGGACCCAGGGTTAGGAGCCAGCCCTGATGAAGACGTCCTGGTGAAAGCCCCAATTGCAGCTCCTGAGCCGGAGCTGAAAACAGACCCGTCGCTCGATCTGCATTCCCTGAGCAGTGCAGAAACACAGGTAAGGTGCCCTGCTCAGGGTGCTACCTTGTGCTCTTGGAAATGTGTCTGTTTAAACAAAAACTTCATGTCCCAAGATGGTAAACGTGACCAGAGTAATTCATGAGATGCTGAAAAGAGTTTAGTCAGCTCCATGTGAGACTTTAGAGCACCTTCCAGTGCCTGAAGGGGCTCCAGGAAAGCTGGGAAGGGACTTGGGACAAGGGCAGGGAGGGAGAGGACAAGGGGGGATGGACTAAAAGTGGGAGAGGGAGATTGAGGTTGGACATGAGGAGGAAATTGTTGGGTATGAGGGTGGTGAGAGCCTGGCCCAGGTTGCCCAGGGAAGCTGTGGCTGCCCCATCCCTGGCAGTGTTGAAAGGCAGGTTGGATGGGGCTTGGAGCAACCTGGGCTGGTGGGAGGTGTCCCTGCCCATGCAGGGGTTGGATCTAGATGATCTTTAAAGTCCCTTCCAACCCAAAAACATTCCTATTATCATCTGCTTCCCACTCTTGCATTCCTGTATCACAGTGTTCTGCAAAGTACCTGCTCCTGAACTTGTGCTCACGCTTCACAACAAAACTTAAAATGCCCTGTGTTGACTTTTTACTCTGCTGGGGCATGGGAAGTCACATCAGAACCAGGGTTCAAATTCATAATTCAAGACAGAGTTGCTGCTTGTTGGGATGTCCTTGGTGTGCAGGAGAAAGCCAGTTCAGTGGTATGAGGTGGGGATTGCAAGAAGACATGGATTTGGGAGAGGGCTCCTTCAGCCTCAAGAAGCACAGGCATTTCCCAGCTTGGTCTTCTGCTCAGTCCAGGCTGGTGCTGAGCCTGCCAAATACAAATATTTTTTGCTTATGCATCATGTAGACAGGGATTTTTGCCCAGCACGTGGGCTGAGCCCAGCTCCTGGTTACTGTCTAATGTCTGCTCTGTACAGCCAGGGTAATTTTTCATGCCAGATTTAAGGGTTTTTAATGTGTGGTAGAAACTGAGGCCCACAGGGAGACCTTCACAGACCTGCAGCTGGTTATTGATCTGAGGAATATCAGATGCCCTCTCTTACTCCTCGGGTAACTGCAGCTCTGCTGTTACTAGTGCAGCTTCCCAGAATTAGAGAAAACCTCACGCCCCTTTTCCTGAAATGCAGATTTTGTAAAACCCAACCAGCCTCTGTGTGTGGCTGGAGCCACAGCACCTTCTGTGCTGAAATCTGCATGACTTGTCTTCACGTTTTGAGTGGGCTCAGAGAGGTGTTTGTTACAAGTATGCAAACTCTAGGTTTCACCTGACTTTTTTGAGCAGTACTTTACAAGGGAGAGCATTCCCAGTTCCAAGCAGTACCCATAAATCCTCCTCCTTAAAATTACAAAGGTGTAGAGGAGGTGGCAGGTAAAACCATTTTCTTTCTTTCCCT